TTTTCATGGTGCTTCATATAATGTTAATTTTTACGGGATCTTATTTCTCCTTTTATTTTATTACTATTATTTATTTATTTTCACTTTTATTTCGAAGGAGAAAAAAAAAAAAGAAGACAGAATTACGCGGCCGGCGCTGATTGGTCGAGCCGTGCCCCGCGTCTGTCCCGGAAGTGAAAGCGGAGGACTGATGTGTGTGTGGAGTGCAGGAATCTGTCGGTACCGTTTGTGTTGAGTCTCCCGGTTGACAAAATGGACACGTTAAACAAACTCAAACAGTTTGACGCTTATCCCAAAACTTTGGAGGATTTCCGAGTGAAGACGTGGGGAGGAGCGACCGGTGAGCGGCTTTAATTCAGCAGAGAGCAGCAGCCATTCACACATCAGGCTGTTAGCTGCTGCGGCTAACAACAAGGCGAACTGGACCTTTTCTCCTTTTCAATTATATATATATATGAAATAAAATACAGCAAGTTAGAGCATTAACATCATCCTCATAGCGCTGAGAAAGGCTGGACAGCAGCCGAACCGACACCTTTAACATGTACAGTCCAGTAGGAGAGCAACAAAACAAGGCTGGTGATTAAAAATGCAGTTGTAGATTCAAACAGGAGATTTAGTTTGAAACTTTTCTGATTTCACTGCATATTTTCTGTGAAGGACAATAGCAGTGGTTTTTGCAAACAAATGGGAAATTCCCATTCTGCTGCAGCAGCACAGAGACAGGCTAAGGCAAGAAAAGGGATAAGCTATTTGAATAAACTATTAACTATAAAGCATTTCGTTGCAAATCAATTAAAAATAAAGGAAGAAATTAGAAAGGTGACATTAAAAAAAGCTATATACAATATAAAAATTATAATACCTTTGTCTGTACACATGAATTGTGCAAGTATTTGTGCAAATGTAGTCCAGTAGTGCAACTAACCATGATGTGTGAACTGTATATGTTTAAGTATAAAGTAGTAAGTACAATATACATAATAATATACTTATGTATCGTATATGTGCATTATATATAATATGCACACACTGTACAGTAAAGATACAATGCTGTGAATATATATAACAGAAATAGAGATGAATACCATAATAATTGCATTAAAAATGTAATCAGAAAAAGCACAATAATTACAGTATAGTATAAATATATGGGGATACAAGCAATGTAATGCAATGCAAACAGCTACATTTGCTTTCATTTAATCTGAGACTGAAACAAATCCTTTAGCCTGACCTGGCAAAAGTCCAGCTCACTCCCAGTTCACACGATCAGGACCAAGAGTTCTTGTGATGAAGTCCATATATTAACTAGTGTTCACATACAAATGACTCCCTTTCTAAGAAGAATCATAAAATATGTTAATGTATACAGTTTATTAAGAAACCAAACTGCTGCTGTTTGATGCTTTTACTTTACCAACTTGAAGGAAAACGAATGGCTGAGATATCGAAGTTGTCAGTTCATTTACAGGAAGAGTGACAACTTAATCTTACAAGTAATTAACAACATGTCTGAATGAATCGTTTTAGAAATGTATTACCAGTTTCTCCGATGTAAAGACGTGTTGATTTTATGTTTTATGTCACTGAGTCTCTTTGAGTTTTGGAGTGTTGGTCGGACAAAACAAGACACGTAAAAACGCAAATTGGAGATCTTGAAACTTGTGATAGACATAAAAATAATCTGTAGCTTAATTGATTAAAAAAAGATTTAAAAAGTTTCAACCATTTTTAAAGTTTGGTTTTGTTTATGTGTCTTGAGTTTCTTTACTGTTGAACATCAGCAGGTTTCTCTCAGAACAGTGGACACTTAAATGAGTTAATCTTAAAGGAATTAGTGATTTTATTTCTGTTTTTAACGTTGTATTGTCTGCTGACTGTATAGTCAATGTCCAATAATACTTACAGTACAATAATTGTGAATAATCCTCCTCATAATCATTTTCTTGACTCAGATAGAAACTCAAAACAGCCATTGAAGCCACTTAAACAAACCATATCAGGCTCTGTTGATGTTATAGCACAGTGTCTTTTAAAAGGTGAAAAACATCTAAAGCTTCTCAAGTTTTCTTTCTCGCGTATGATAAACCAGCTGAAGGACTTTTCCTTTTAACTTCTTGCTCTCAGTTTGAACCAGGATTACGAGGCCTTCTCGTGATTTCTAACATACACACTTCCTCTGTGTCCCTGCAGTGACCATCATCAGCGGTGTCATCATGTTAATCCTGTTTGTGTCCGAGCTGCAGTACTATCTGACTAAAGAGGTGAGTTCATCCACATCACCTGATTATTTGATGTCCTGAAGTTCAGTTTGATGCTTAATGCAGAGGATAATATAACGTATGCTAAAGTTCGCTGTAGTGCATCATGGCAGGCCAGTCCAACGTGTCTACATTTTCACAGTCTCTTTTATTGATTATATATATTATTTAGTGATGTTTTGTCCACTGAATACCACAGGGTGTCTGACAAAGAATTCAATTCAGTTCACTCCAGAAAAAAGGCCTGAGAAGGCGTTAAAGTCTTACATTAAAATTGTAATATTTTTTCCTGCCTGATAGTAAAATGAGTTGTTTTTTTTCTATGTGATTTTGGGCTGTTGGGAGAAGTTGGATTGTTTTTTTCAAAGCGGATTTAGCTGCAAAACGTTTTTAATGGTTACTCAACCCATCAATTTTCTAGCAAGTATCTGGGTTCTTCATTAATTATATTATAAGGAATTATTTCATATACAGCTGCAAAGTGCTGACAAATGTGACATAAATATAAATGGCTGCATTTACCATGTCAATAAATGAATATACTTTAAGGATTAAATGGTATTCTATGTGGCCTTAAAAGGGTCCTAACCCTTAAAGTCTCAACTATAACTTGGTGAACTGCTGAAACCCTGTAAATTGTAATGGACAGAAGTCAAGGTCCACTTTTTTTATTTTTCAGATTAATAAATTATCAACATTATTATAATAATGATGATAATAACACTAATATATAATAATAATGCTGCCTGAATTTCTCCTACGGGGGATCATCATCTTATCTTATCTTACCTTATCTGCCTGGGGTCAACATTAAGCAGCCTTCAGGAAACACTTCCTGTTAGACCGGTCTGATGAGTCCGTGTCGCACAACTGGGAAATCGGTTGCTCGTTGTTCTTAATCTTCATTACTCGCCATAACAATTTGAAGATTCAGAATTATTATGTTTGCATTGAACCTTTTATATTTATAAAGTTAGTAGTGACCGTTACAGTCCTGTTTCCCCAAACATGTTAGTACTAAGTAAATCAAGGACAAAAATGTGTAAATGTGTTGTCAGTGGATGCCTTTCTTTGGTAGAACAAAATGTTGTATAGCTTGTAGGGCCAGTGAAGTGAGGTGGAGGGCATTTGTCTATTTGCCTATGCCTTTTCATGTCTGTGGAAAATGCCTCTACAACAAATGCTGTTTTGTGTTTGACACCTGCCTGAGGAAGATCTTGTAGATGTTGCCTTGAAAAGAGATTTAAACTATTTATTTGGAGCCAAACAGTGTGCAGACTGTTCTCCTTTGTGCCCTGCAGTGAGATGTGCACACACTTGGTCCTTCTTCTGTCTGTGGGAAATCCCATTAAAGAGATTTTAACCTATAAATGAAAGGCAGAAATTCTACCTTACAGCAAAAAGTACATCAAAAATATAGGGACATTGTTCTGCCATAACTCAAATTTTCTGTTAAATGTTTCATGCATCATGTTTTTGTTTTGACTGAATGTCTGAATTAAAATGTGTCCGTGCTGTTTGTTCCCTGCAGGTTCACCCTGAGCTGTACGTCGACACGTCGCGGGGAGACAAACTGAAAATTAACATCGACATCATCTTTCCTCACATGCCCTGCGCCTGTGAGTAGCACTGCTGTTACCTGCAGCTTTAGAGATAGGAATCTAACATGCTAATGATGACACATGTTGACTATAAACAGCCTCACACCTTGATGCCTTCCCCCATTCATTTTCTTTTTTCTCAGATCTCAGTATAGATGCAATGGACGTGGCCGGCGAACAGCAGTTGGACGTTGAACACAATCTGTTCAAACAGAGGCTGGACAAAGACCTTAAACCTGTCACCCTTGAGGCAGAGAAACATGGTAAACACTGACTTTACTCAAAAAATTTGCAAAAAACATTGATGTAATCAGGTTGCTATGGGTACCTGCGAGTACAGTGATACATCAGTGAGGTAGAAACACTGTTGTTTAAGTGTTTTTGCCTGACAGCCCTGCATTTGTTTGCCAGAGCCTCTGCATCTGGAAGACTGAAAGGTTGAACAAAATCATGTTTGATGGCTGATAATCATGATGGTGATTGTGTGTGTGTGTGTGTGTGTAGAACTCGGTATGGCTGATGATGGCGAAGTGTTTGACCCCAGTACACTGGACCCAAACAGATGTGAGAGCTGCTACGGAGCTGAGACTGAAGACCTCAAGTAAGACGCCATCGCAGACAACACGGGCTCTGCTTTTTACTGTCTTCGTGTTTTCTGTATACTCTTGTGTTCACTTGCCATGCTTCTCCTTGATGTGTGCGCACAGATGCTGTAACACTTGTGATGACGTGCGGGAGGCGTACCGGCGGCGAGGCTGGGCGTTCAAGAGCGCCGACACCATCGAGCAGTGTAAAAGGGAGGGCTTCACACATAAGATGCAGGAGCAAAAGAACGAAGGCTGCCAGGTTTACGGCTTCCTGGAGGTCAACAAGGTATTTATCTGTGGATCTCTAAAATGTTTCTTATTTTCAGCAAAGAGCAACAGCCTTCAAGCAGGGTTTGGAAAGATTTAGAGGAACATTTGAAACTTTAGTAAAGTAAAATAAAATAAAAAATCAGTGATATGTAAGTAAGCTAACAAAAGGAACTCACCTCATTGTAATTTAGATCAAGGTTCAAAATTACATTTGTATCATTTTATGAGATTTTAACTTGTAAAAGTAGTAATCTTCAAGTAAGGTACTCAGAAAGAAGACTTAGCAAGAACAAACACACAAGATGTTTAAACTATTCCTCAGACTGTCATCACTACTCAGTGATTTTTCTTCTGCTCTGGCTTGTGTGTTCTTTCTTTCAACACTTGCTCCACACATAACCGAGTGTCGTACGTCTGACGCAGTGATTTCGAGTTGAAAAGGTGGTCATGATATGAGAAGAAAGTTGTAATTTGAAGAAAAAAAGTCATAATTTTACAAGAAATAGTTGTAAAATGATAGCAAAACTGGGATTATTTTATGAGAAAAGAAATACACGTTGTAAAGCTGTATACTGTCATAGGGAGGGGACTGCAGTCCAAAACCATGCAATCTTGCAAGGTAAAAAGGATCAGGAAATGCTTAATAATGTTCTTGAAATACAACAATGTTGTGATAATACTTTGAATTTATTCTTGCTTAGTATTTCTTATTCTCTGGAAATGTCTTATTTTGTTTTCCTGACAGTGGCTCTGAAACTGTACTGATTGATTGTATTTACCCTCTCTTCCTCTTTGTGTCTCAGGTTGCAGGAAATTTCCACTTTGCACCAGGAAAAAGTTTCCAGCAGTCTCATGTTCACGGTAAGAGCTGCTGTAAATCCACTCTGATCTCACACAGAAGCATTCAAAGGTTTTTGAACACCCTGTGTTAGTTTCAGCAATAACCTGAGGTCAGGGACTGTAGTCCATGCTATGTTTCATCACTGTACAGTTGTATGTCTTTAAAGGTGAGATTTAGATCACAGCATAAGGTTTCAGTGTCAGAGAAAATGAGAGAAAAAGAGGAATGTTTTATAGACCTGATGACACAAATCTGTTCTTTTTCTGACACACTGACTAACTTAAAGCTCTAAAGTATATGCAGAGTATACGGGCAGCAGGCAGCTGTGTAGAAATGATTTGTCTGTCCATGGTTTACAAATAATAACTGTTAACAACAAATGTTAACTTATTTTCACTCAAAGTCATGCAAATCCTACCAATCTTCAAAATCTTGACACGCAGAGGCCCACAACAGTGAAAAGACAATGAAATAAGACATTTAAGGGAAGATGAATCTAATTTCCTGATCAGATTCACCTCTCAGTTCAATTTTATTTGTTCCTAACTAAAATGTTACAATGAGTGCATGGGTTAACCCCATAATGCTACAATAAAGGGTGTTCGGAAACGTTTGACTATTCAGTGTCTATCAGTGTCTGTTCATTCATCCACTCATCATAGTATGGATCTATCATCCACAGTCACCACATCCACTAATGAAACATCCATTGTTCACAACTCACAGCTGCACACACTCATTTCTGACTGCATGTTGAGATTTTCCAGCAACAATTAATCAGTGTGATTTTAACAGGTTTGTGCACTAAAAATGACATTATGACTGTATTTGAACACCTTATTTAGAACATCCTTTGTAGTTTTTTCACTAAAAACTGAAAATGAAGTCAGTTGAAAAATCCTTGATCTTTGTTTTGGAAAAGATTTCATGTATTCTGCATGAAACGTAAAAAAAAAAAAAGACATTTTCAAAGTTTTTGCCAAAGTAATTGCAGTTCAAGGTCTGCTTGCCTTTTCTAGAGGTTGAAGCTGCATCTCACACTGAAACCACACTGAAACCAAACTGATGAAATAAAATGAGTTCCTTCACTGTTTCTGCTCTGGTAGTTTTGTCATCAGTTTTGTCATCATCATCTGATACATCAGCAAACACTTTATGCATGTCTCTAAAAATGTCAATTTACTCACATTTTTTGTGTCTCTGCTGCATCTTTCTCTCTTTAATTAGTTTCTTCCTTCGACTGCTGTTGCTGAGTTTTGCACCGTCATCATTGTCTGTCAATGTTGATCTTTGTTATTGTCTTGACTGGAATGTCCTGCTCTGTCTGCCTGCTAAAAGCTTCTCTCATCTGCACATTAAACCAGAGCAGGAAATTAACAACAGCCATCAAAAGCTTTAATAAAACTTCAGAAGGAGTGCCACAATTTATAGTCTTCTGGGTACTAAAATGGAGAATGTGGCCAGTAAGTTAAATTACTCTCCAGGTACTCAAGCATCACTTTAAAATTCTTTGATGCAAATCTGGTAAGTGGCTGCAGTCTGACAGCATCCTCTGAACTCTGGCTCTGTGGTGAGAGATAAATGAATCTGATTGAATGTACTCATTTATTTTGCTCGGCGTTAAATTTGAATGCTTAGGAGCAGAAACAAGAGACAAGAATCACTTGTGCTGAGGATCTGACTGTAAATGAGTCTGAAATAAACCAGCTGCATCTTTGTCCCTTTATTCTGGACTGACCTTCAAGAGTTAAACACTGTCTCATGCGTTTGGGGCTGCACGATCACCCTGACAGAAGTCATACAGACTATTTTCTAATGCTCATCTTTTCTTTGGCACACAAAAACTATAATCCTCCTCAATAAGAGATTCTGCTGTTATGTAAAATCTCAGCTTTGTAAAGCCATTCATATATTTCAGTTGAGCTTTTAATACTTTGAAACAAAACAAATCATGAGCACAAAAAACCTTTTTGTAAGTTTTAAAAGCTGCGTCCTCATGTATCACTGTTCATGTCTTAATAAAAAAGCCTCCTGTCAGTGTTGTGCAGCCCCTACTGGCACCTCCCCACACATTAACATAACATGGTTTGTTGTCTACCTGCATCATTATAGTGACTCTTCTCTCTTCTTTCTGCAGTTCACGCTGTGGAAAGTAAGTGCATCTTTATTTGCAGTTTTTATTATTTTAGAAATAGTATAGTAATCTGTTTATTGAGATATGGGAAAAGTATTGCAAGTATACAATTATTTTGTAGTATGAAGTGAGAATTACTTAATGGTTGAATTTAAACCTGCTACATGGAGGTTTTAGCTGTTTATAGAACAGTCTGAATGTAATACTGATGCCTCTACATGGCTATTTCTATAGTTAAAGTTCTCATTATTACCTGCCACTGGGTCGAATTCGGTCCGATTCCTTTCGAAATGAATGGAACAAGGCGGTGGAAACACTACCGTCAGAAGTTCCTCATTGCTGCTTTAAGTACAGGCCAATACTCGCTGTATAGAATCCAGTTTACCAAGTCAGAGGACACAATTTCTGCTAGTTGTTAAATTTTCAATTCTCATTTTTTTAATACTCACAAGACGCCCTCAAATATATTTATCTAGTATCTTCAATATTTTAATTTCTTGAATTTCCCTCGGGATAAACTATCTATCTATCATGACTAAATACATACTATTGCTCATTATATACTACTCATTAGACCAGTAACAGGGCTTAAGAAAGCTGATTCTCTCGAGTTGGTCAGTGTTGATTTAGAAGACTCACATCAGCCATGGATCTCACTGTGCTGCATCTGTAGACATTTTCTGAACTTCTGATAGTGTCACAACTGTATTTCTGGCAATAAAAAAAAATCAACTGTCTCAATTGGGAGGTGTGTATACTCATCTACATTATTACAAACTAAAGTTTTATCCAGATCAGACTGAATATTAGTTTGGTAGGTGATGTTGGGTGAGGTTTGTGAAGTGTGAACAGTCAGAAGGCTGCCACTGTTTACTGCACATGAATTAATCTGAATACCAACGGACACGTTTAAGGGAGGTCAAAGGTCAGAGCATTGCACCCTGAGAACAGATGTGACCTGCAGCTACTAACTCTGATATGAACTTGTGTGAATGTGATTGTTGGCTTCAGCTTTATTTTCTGCCTTTCATCTATTAACCAACCGGAGTGAACAGCTGAATCAATCGGCCATAATCAATCACAAACTGATCAATCACAAACATTTGTGACAGATCTGTAACTTAAGATACATTCCTCTGTTTTAACTCCATGCGTATTTGAAGCATTGGGATTTTAACAAGTTAATTGATGTCTCTTGTTTTGCAGTACACGACCTGCAGAGTTTTGGCCTGGACAACGTAAGTAACTTAGTTATTTTCTCTCTTCACATTTAAAAAAAAATTACTGTGAGAGATCTATTATTTCTTTGCTTATTTAAAGATTCAATTTTGTTTGCTACTTTTTTCTGTTTGTATAGAAAAGATTTAGTAAAATAACTTTCACAGTTCACACTGCGTACATGAGCAGCGCGTGGCGCAACGTTTTGCTTCCATTCATATGTTTAATTGTATTTATCAAAGGCAGACTCAGTGTAGAAAGATGGGGCTGGCAGCAGCAGCCACGCTCTCGGTGTAAACGCTGTGTTCATGCCAGGCGCAGCTGTAGAAACCACACACAGCTCAGGCTGCCTATATGAACAAATGGTTATGTAAACCCTGAGCTGACTTTTAGGTAATAATCAAACTGTATCAATGTTTTCTTATTAATGTTAAGAAAAGGTGACAAACATTCAGTCTTTAGACGACAGTTGTGCCAACTTCTAATCTTTCTTTCGTCCTGCAGATTAACATGACCCATCTGATAAAACACCTGTCGTTTGGTAAAGATTACCCCGGCATCGTTAACCCTCTGGACGAGACAGACGTCACAGCGCCACAAGGTCAGTTTCATTTCATCATGTCCGTGTGGACCACACACAAATTATGACCATGTGAACTGTCTCTGTCTACTGCACATGAGCAACAAGGAAGGGCTTTTATCTACTATATAACAGTATCTGTAACAATGCACATTTGCACCGGACCTTGTAAACTACAACAGGAGTGCACTGACTCATACTGAAGTGTCAAGTTAAACCACAGTTGTTACTGCTTCCGCTTCTGGCTCAAGGGCTGAATATAAGAGTTTAACCCAAATAGAAAAAGAGATTCGACCAGGCAAGTTTCATACATTTGAAACTTTAGGTTTTCACAACTGGAGCGTAAGAACTTCTGTCTGCAGCTACATTTTGCACCAATCTATAACAATCAGAGAGAAGATACAGAGGACAAGAGACCAATGTAGAATTAAGCAAAGTGGCCAAAACGTGTGCTGTGTCTGCAGGAGGAATTTTCCTTCAAGATAAAATCTAACATTTTGTGTCTGTCACTCTGAGCAGGACGTTTGCAGCATCAGAAAGTGTAACATCCACTCCGAAAACCATTTGACAAACTGAACTTTTATTGACAAAACTAGACGGTCGAACGTAGAGAGTGTGACAGCATCGAGCAGACAGAGAGCGGTGGTAAAGGTTACTGGAAGAGTCCCATAGCTGTACAGCTGTGTTGAGGAGGATATTATTCCTCGTCCTCCTCAGCAGCGGATGCCCATACCGATGGCCATGAAGGTGCCAAACGTCCCTCCGCTCTGCATCATAGTCTTCCCTACTCCGCCCATCAGCTCCCTGCCACGCATGCCGATCCTAAAAACAGCAGAGACGGTTTTCATTTTCTGTCTGAACTGAAGCAGTTTGAGCTGTCGGTTACCAGAAAAGTAGACTAACATGTAAATAACTGTCAGGTAACTTACTTGATATGGCTTATCAATAATTGTACACACGTTTTTTTTTAAGGATTCAGTTTAAGAACTATGTCAGTGTAGATCTGATTACTATGTGCACGTTAGCCTGTTTTCTGTTTGCCTACAAAGCTCTGATTGGCTCAGTTTTTCCCACATGCATGCAGTAGATACATATTTCTATAAAAACAGTTTGGATGTACACAAAGTTCGTAGTTACCTGAGACAGGAGAAAGTGCCAAACATGGCGCCAGCAGCCATTCCTACTGCAAACCCCATCATGAACCCCATCTTGACCCGGTCAAAACAGCTCGGCTGAGTCTGGCCATACGGACCTACAGCCACAGGCATCTGGGGAGGGAAGATGGACCAGTAGACTGTTACAGATGCAGTGTGGTCTGACAGCGTGATGAACAAAATACTGAGCGGGTCTGAAGGTTCCCGAGCCTGGACGTACTGAGCCGGACCACATTATGATCCAGTCTGGCTCCTCACTCGCTCTGTTCACTGTGATTATTGATGCGATGCCCAGCCTCTTTTATTAAATGTTTATAACTACAACAGTTTGGGGATATGCTCTACTAAAACTGAATATCAAGTCACGATAAGGGCCTTTTAAATGGATTACTACTTGATGTTGAGGACTTGGACAATGTCAGTCTAGCAGACCTTCATTATTACAGCTGATATTGGTGCCTACATACTCCTAAATAAAGCAGTGTTTAATTGAGTTACCACACAGGAAACCTGGGGACACTTAATATTTCATCATATGAACACAATGCACAGAAAAGCAGCCTCACAATGCAGATAATACCAGCAAGATTTAGAGTTTTCTGACATATTCCTGGAGCTATTTCAACACTTTATCCACAATGAGTTTGCTGCATTGTGGAATCACACATTCATAATACAGCAGGTTTAGTTTGTTAAGTGACTTATTAGAGTAAACTCTTAATGACTCCAGGACTATATATTTGTAATGCTTTAAACATCAGGATAAAAATGTAGAAATTGTAGCTTCAAAATCAAACATTTGACCTTTAGTATGGAGCTTGTCAATCATGTTACTACGTTAGGTTCAGTCCATACTAGCTGCTTAATACTCGGCTGACAATCCAGTATAGTTTAGTTACAAACACTGGCTTCATTACAGATGTGCGACAGTTAAGGTTGATGATTGAGTTGTGTCTCTGAGCCTGTAACGTTGCATAAGTCGGTGTTATCTCATGAGCTCGGACGCTAACGTCAACCTGTGGCCTGCACAGATAAACACGTTTCCACCGACAGCCGCTGACTGGTGGACATTTTACCGAAGAGATCCGGTGAACTCGAGCTTACCTTGAGCTGTGTGTTTAAAATAAGTCTGGTTTCTGGTTTCTGGTTCCTGGGCGGGAGGATTGGAGTTTATGTGAGCGCAGATGGGTTTAAATGTCTCTTCTAGCAGACCTCCATAACCGGATAGAGGAAGGAGACAGATGACACAGGAAGCAAATAAAGAGGAGAAATAAACCTGGAGGAGAAAGTACAGCAGCGCCCACCAGTGGTTCATTTTATCACTACTAATATTTACATTTTAATTAGGATTACTATTAGTATTCACGAAAATTAAACCAAATATACATCTTAATTAAACCACTTTCAATACTCAACTATGTTTTTATTGATTAAGAGCTTTAATCATTTAGCAGTTGATCCGAAGACGAGCTGTTTTATTGGAGCAGATTAAACTAGAGTACAACAGCCTGACTTTGCGTATCAATAATAATTCCTCATTTATTTTGTCTCATAACAATCCTTAACACACCTCACTGCTGTGATAATCCATTTATTCCTTACTTAAAATCCTACTTTTTATACTCTGGTCTGATAGTAAGGTATGGTTTAATCAGTCAATTGTACATAATAAAAGGAAAAATAAATAAATAAAAACATATTCTCTGTCCCCATTCTACACAAAATAGCAGTGAAATAGATCAAACAACTAAATAAACAATACAAAATATATATTATATAAATATAATAAAGAAGCACAACAGGATCAGACAGTAACAGTTTATCAAAGCATAGCAAAGAGAGATCACAAGTCATTAAATTTCGACCAACTGTTAGCTCTTGCTATATCAGAGATTATTAACAATGTTGAAGTGTCTTCTGTGTGTCTGCATTCATATTAAGATTTCCTTTTTCTCCCCACAGCATCAATGATGTATCAGTATTTTGTGAAAATCGTTCCCACCATCTACGTGAAAACTGATGGAGAGGTGAGTCCTTGTTCCCTGAAGTTACTCTTTCATCCTGGACCTTATCAAAGAGATGTTAATGTGACAAAGTGTGAAAGCAAACTTTATCTTTCCATATGTGTTTGTCTTACTGAGTTTTCCTTTAACATCCCATCTGATCTTCCACTGGATGGTTGTACCAGGCTACATTTACTCAGGCTAAAACAATGCTTTGTTGTCATTTTGTATTTTCCAGGTGGTAAAAACAAACCAGTTCTCAGTCACCAGGCATGAGAAAGTAGCCAACGGGCTTATAGGAGATCAGGGGCTGCCGGGCGTGTTTGTTTTATATGAGCTGTCACCCATGATGGTTAAATTCACAGAGAAACACAGGTAGGACGCAACGGAGGACTTCACCTAATAAAAGTTGTCAGCTAACAGCGCTGTAGAGCCTTAATCAGCCTCTCGTTTAAACCGGGCAGTTGACGTTGACGCTAATAGAAGGTAAAACAGTCTATTTCCTGCTGCTTGTTCAGCTCCTGTACAGACGAGAGCTCATAGCTTGGCAGTTTATTTGTCTCACAACGTGTGTTACACTGTCGGTTGTTGATCCTGCAAGTCTGAAGACATTCGAAACATAAAACCTTCTCATCTTCCACGTGTCTAGTATTTGTCTTTGAGATCGTATTTGTGAACGGGTGTTTACATTTTGAATATTTAAGACATGGACAGTGTTGTCCCATTCGTTGTAATGGTTCGAGCAGTTGTAAAATGAGGAATTTTTCAGGTTTGAATACTTCACTACGTTTCTGATTCACAAAATTTTTGTGAAGATTTTGAAACAACCAGAATATAAATAAATAAATAAAATAATAGATTTAAAAAGGGTCATTTAAAGGAGCACATGCAATAACACAATTCATGAAGTATGTTTAAATAATCTGTCACAGTTTTGGCAATGAAAGTGTGAGTTTATTTTAATCTTAATGCTGAATTAATTAATCTCTCACTCTCTCTCTCCCTCTC